CATGTTCTGAAAAGTGAGATTTGAGGTGTTTAGTCACTGAATTCAAATTACACATGTAGTTTTCTACTTAACCCCTGTTTCTTTCCTCTTATTTGTTATTCTAGCAAGGTATAAGAAGACAAAGAGTTAAGCAGCTATTACTTTTATTCTGGAGGGAGGATTGCCTCATATTAATTTTGCTATACTTTGTATCTTGGCATTTCTGGATAAAAGACAGGGAGAATAATAGAAGAAATAACTGCTAACCATGCTTCTTTAAAATCAGTGTTCATGTATGAAAAATAAATTTCCAGTTGAAATCGTCATATACTGGCCAAATCTCTAAGCACAGTATGATCTGTAGCATAGCACTTAGATGGATAATTAATATAAAGCCCTGACTCCACCTACTCTTCTCCACCCCATCCTGTTTCATCTCAATGAGCTTCCCTCACCCCCCGCCCCCACCAACCAAAAGCAGAGTATTATGCTCTGGTGACATTTTGTCTTAGTCCCTGCCAGTAAGTATTGGCTCCTCTGTTTTTATAAATATACTTATCTAATACAGATTTTAAAATGTAAATGTAAAGGTAGATAATAGTTCCTCCAAAGAAAAATTTCTACTGATAAAAATCATCAAGCTTGAAATCCAGATTTATAGTCTATATAGGGAAACACCCTCAGTACAGGCTATATAATTTACAAAACCCTGTGCAAAATGAAAATGTGATATGCTTTATTCAAAAATTAAGAATTTTAAGACAGTGACAGCAGAGCAGTAAACCAATTGCTAGAAATCCTAGCCAGTGCTATAAGGCAAGAAAAAGAAATAAAAGGCATACAGATTGGAATGGAAGAAATAAAACTGTTCTTATTCGCAGATGACATGATTGTCTACATAGAAAATCCCAAGGAACTCACACACACACACAAATCCAAACTACTAAGTGACCTTAGCAAAGACATAGGATACAAAGATACAAAGGCAATACACAAAGGCAATTGTAAATACTTGCAATGAACAATTGGAAACAAAATTTAAAACCAATGCTATGTGTAATAGCTCCACCCAAAATGAAATATTTAAGTATCCATGTAACCAAACATGTAGCAGCTCTGTATGCTGAAAACTACAAAACACTCATGGAATACATCAAATGAGACCTAGATAAGTAGAGATACATGAGGTGTTGATGGATTGGAATATTCAACATAGTAAAGATGTCAGTTCTTTCCAAACTGATCTACAAATTTAATGCAATTCCAATAAAAATCTCAGCAGTATTTTTCTGTAGATCTAGACAACCTGATTATAAAATTTACATAAATTTTATATAAAGGCAAAGATACTAGAATAGCTAAAACAATTTTGAAAAAGAATGAAGTTGGAGGAATCACACTACCTGATTTTAAGATTTATTCTAAAGCTTCAGGCAGCAAGACAGTGGGATTGGTGAAGGGACAGACACATAGATCAATGGGGCAGACTAGACAGTACAGATATTGACCAATAGATATATGGCCAATTGATTTTTGACAAAGGCGCAAAGACAATTCAAGGGAGAAAGGATAATTTTTTCAACAAATGGTGTTAGAACAATTAGATTCCATATGCCAAAAAGAAAAAAAAAAAAAAAAGAGGCTGGACTTAAACCTCACACCTTACACAAAGATTATCTCAAAATGGGTCACAGATCTAAATATTATACATAAAACTATAAAATTTTTTGAAAACATTAGAGAAAATCTTCATGACATAAGATTAGGCTAAGAGTTCTCAGACATGACCAAAGGCACAATCCATTTAAAAAAATTGATGAATTTTATTTTATCAAAATTTTTCCTCTTGCAAATAAGCCAGAAAAAAAAACTTAATAACATGTGGATATGATATCATTTTTGTAAAACAAACAAAACTCCATAAATATTTGCACTAAAGTTTTAAAAAGGATTATGGTATCCTTCTGGTTGAAGGGTAGAGTGTAGAGTTACCTCTGACTCTAAACCCTCCTGTTGTGGTTGAATTTTCATGGGCAATTCTTTCTTTCATATAAGGTCCCAAATCTTCCCACCACGGGCAGCTTTCAAAAGAGCAGCCTCCTAGAGAAGCCCTGTAAAGGTGAGGATTGACTCCTCAGATCCCTCCCCACTCTAGCACCCTAGGATTTTATCATTAGATCTGATGTGAGTACTGAAAATCCCCTAAGTGAGAAAATGTTTGCCATTTTTTATTTAATTTCAGAATCACTAAAATAAAATTATCAAATCCCCAATGTCACCCCAGTGCCTCCTAATGGACTCAGACCTTGAAGAATGCTGTTTATCATGTGTCATGAGACATTTAATTTCCAAGTGACTAGTGGTAGCCTCTTTCAAGTGTATTTTCCTAAAAAACCTTAAGTGGGTCCCTTCTTTTGCAGAATGGATCAGACCACAGTCCATTTATTGGACCACAGTTCATAAAGCAAAGTCTTCAGATGGAGTCTGATTTCCATCCTTAACTGGCATTAATTTTGCCTGTAACTACATTAAGTCTCTGAATTAGTGGAGTACAAATCTGCATCTAACTAGTACAACTGACTGACTGCAAATCAGGCATAGATTCTCATAATGAAATGTTAGCCTCAAGATCAGTGGCAGGTTTACCACACAGTTAATGAAACTTAAGCTCAAGGACCCTCACCTGTGCAGACCCTTCCAAGGGCCTGCCAGGGCCCTAGCAATGTGTTTACATTTTTGTAGATTTGCAAAAGTAAGATATTTTGACCACAATCAGCAAAAGCATCTCTTTTCACTTTGACTTTCCTTCCATCACTCTCTTCTGCCCGATGAGTGGCAATGGAAGGGCTGTGGACACTTTGGGGATTTGGTTAAGGGGATAAAGAGTTGGGGATAGGTTTCATTTGAGTTGAGTGGGGTATGTTTCTGTGGTTTGCGACAACTTGGTGTATAGTTAATCATTGTTAGCCATGCAGGTGTAGGAATTTCTTTAGGTAGACTCCTACAGCTCACCGTGCCAGTTGACTCACTGAGGTGTCACACAGTATGAATGTGTCTGATGGGCTCTGCCCCTGGGAGTATTGGGTGGTATAGGGACAACAGGCTTGAAATGTACGGTCATAGGTGGTCTGTGGAAAATTCCCCCAAATTTTACAACCTATATATGAAATAAACCAGATAGGAGTTTTTCTGAATTTGACAACGATCCCTAAAAATGTAGACAGCATTATCAATAATGAGTTGTAAAGCTGAAGGAAAATTTTTTAATTCACCAAAAATAAAAAAATTTGATTAAACATGCTAGAGAAAAGGCAATTATTTTTCTATTCTTCCTATAGAAAGTAATATTATAAAATTATTGTTACATGAAGAGGCAATCAAAGAATATGCAGCCACAAAGCATCAGGGCGAAAGTATTACAGAGGTGTGCCAGGCAGTTGATTAAACGATTGCTATTTTCCTAGATTTTGTGATATGTATGGTGTTTTGTCAGTTTTTAAGCTCTGCGATTTGTTGTGATTTTCTTTTTCTCATTCTAAATAAATATTCAGTTTCAGATCTAATTTTGTGTTCATTTTTTTAAAGAGAACTGCCCAAATTGTGTAAATTTCAGGCCCCACAAAACCTGGATTATCCCTGGATGGGAGCTTTTAAATATTTAGAAATAAGATAAATCTTTTCCTTTTGGTTAAGGATTCTTAGTAACACAGCCAAATGGGATTGTACTTTACTTCATCTAGAATCTGACCTCTGCAATGGAATTGGTAGCTCCGGGGCGTCAGCACTGAGAACAGTGAGAGGCACAGAGATTCATCACCAATCACCCAGCAGGGAGGACACCTGGGTGGAATCTGGCACCTAGCGTGGATTTCTGTTCCAGAAAAGAAATCTTCCACAAAGAAGGGAAGGTCTAATGAAATGACCTGGTGGAGCTTTTATCTAATTTAAAACAAGAAAGACTTTTCAGAGAAGAGTATGATGGACTGGATTTGGGACATCCAGGTTCAATTCACCTACGTTTGGTTTTCCCACTCTAAAGGAAAAGTTAAGAGAAGGTCGACACAGTGGATGATGATGACAATACTCTCCTTTCTCACTGTCCCTTCCTGTCGTCTGTCCGTGACTGAGTACTGGGTTGGATTGACAGATGTTATGGGAGATCCTGTGGACAATGGAGCCAGCCACCCCTGACCTAATCTTATAACAATTTCTCTCTCTCACAAGAGCAGATGGCATTTATACACCGGGATTATCACTTGTAAGCAAGTTGTGGCAATATCACCAGCCCTTGCCTGGAGAGAAGGAATTTCCATGCATATATCACTGCTTAACCCACTTATTAGTAATCTTGCTTGTTTGAAATTTTTGGTTCTATGCCCCCATTAAAAGATTAATTCGTCCTTTTATAGCTCGAATAAAACAAAGGAATATTATAATTACATTTCACCATGGGCCCACAATTTGGCTCTAAGGGCAGTAATAAAAAATGGTCAGAACACCTCCTCTGTTTGCTGGCCTGGCCACCCAGGGGTCCCCATAGCAAGGGGTCACAGGTTGTAAGTCATCAAAAAGAAGAAAAGTCAAGGGTTGGCAGATTTTCTTGATGTGCATTCTCTTCTATTCCAACAGAGATCCTAAAGAAACAGGCTGAAATGCTTTTCCCAGGAGAAATTTCTACCTGGGTTCTCCTGTCCTGGTCGGTCTCACCCAAACCTCCTGACTCCAGAGCTCACTGTTATAATGAGACCATGAATTGCATTTGCTTTGCTTTGTCGTCAGCATATTTCATGATTTCTTTCTAACAGTGTCAGGCTCTGCTTTTGTCTCTGCCTGGTGAAGGTAACTGTCTTTTCATCCATCTTGAAAAATGCACCAAAGCTGATGGTCTGGGAGATCCCCCCATTTGGTTGTTGGGTCTCTCCCACTCCCGTGATAGCTGTTGCTGCCGTGGGACCTGGTGCTTGGTAGGGCCTATGAAGGGACACTCACTACCCCTGCCCCCTGCTCTCATCTTACTCCACCTTTTTCCATGTCGGTCTTGATCTGTTCCTCGAGATCCTCGGGGGACACATAGAAGTCCTCTTCTGGCTTCGATGATTTGGGCCGGCAGTGTCCACAGCAACAGTTGCAGCAGCAGCACAGACAGCAGCAAAAATAGCAGCCCGTCAAGAGGCCGATGATGACAAACAGGGTCTAGGGGAAACAGAGGCGGGGCAAAATGGGGGGTGAGGGGTGGTGGGGTGAGGGGAGAACCCCAGAAATCAAGTCTGCAGCCTTGTACCCCCAGAGACCTGAAGACATCACAGTTCACCCCACAGACCACATATTGAATTAATGAATGTATAAAGTAATAAATAAATGATTAGCTTCATCTAGTGAACAGCCCCACAAACATAAAAGGTTTGCTCGCTAACTTTGTCACAGCTAAAGATTAAAAGAAACTCTCAACTTCCCCAATTTGAAACTGTAAGAAGTCCATTTTTGTGAATTGAGCAAAATCAAAGTATGATTTTATTAAAAATACGTTATTTGAAATAGAAAGTGGCTTACACATTGTTCATCGGAATGCACCTGCTATCCAATTAGGGGAGCATGAGGGACAACCATCACCTGTGTGCCTCTGTGCTTCTTCCATAACCTGAGGTCAAGACCCTATGCTAATGACCCTTACTTAGGTCCTGCTTGGGCCTCCTGCTGCCTGGCTCTGGCCCCAGGTGTGGGGTGGAGCCTCTGAGGGCTTGGGGAGCTTCAGTCACACACTTGCACGCAGGATCTCTTTGCTAAGGAAACTTTACATTTTCATTGTCTTAGATGAATTACTCTGAAAACAACTGCAACACCCTCTGCTCACCAGCTGCCTCCAACGCTCTCCTGTGCAGTGTTCTTGAGCCATTGCCCCAAGAAGCTCCTCCTTTTTTTAGCTACTTTTGCTCTTTTTGTTTTTACTATGCAATTCTCGCATTATTCTCATTTCTGAAAATTTTCTTTCCATTTATATACTGTTTTGTTCTTTCATTATTCCAACTAGATTGTTTGCCTTTTCTGGGAAATAACCTTGCCTATCCCTTACAATGTTCAGCACAGTACTAGGCACAAGTAGGTGTCCAGTATTTTTTAAAATACATATCTCTGATGCCATGTTGATTCATTCATGTAGTGCATACATGATTGCTGTGTGCAAGGCCACTCTGATGGGCACCGTGCAATTGGGCTTTGGTACAAGTAGAAGGGAAAGGTATATTTTCTATGGCCTTATTTTTTTTTTCACCTTTTTTAAAAATTTCTGCATATTATGGGGGTACAAATGTTTAGGTTATGTTGCCCTTCCCCCCCCCCACAGGCAGAGCTTCAAGCGTGTCCATCCCCCAGATGGTGCGCATCGCACTCATTATGTACGTAAATACCTATCCCTACCTCCCCGCTCCCATCTGCCTGACACCTGATAAAGGTTATTCCTATATATCCACTTAGGTGTTGATCAGTGAAACCAATTTGCTGGTGAGTACATGTGGTGCTTATTTTTCCATTCCTGGGATACTTCACTTAGTAGAATGGGTCCAGCTCTATCTAGGAAAATACAAGAGGTGCTATATCACCATTGTTTCTTATAGCTGAATAGTACTCCATGGTATACATACACTGTAAGGTCATAGCAAAATCCCCCCCCCCGTGTGTGTGTGTGAAATGTAAGGCATGTAAGGCTATAGCAGAAAGTGTTCTCTTTAATTCTAACTGATGCCATCTGCTTCTGTCACTGTGCTTGCTCTTAGTTGATAGTTAAATACAGCTACACGGGACAGGAGTGACTCCATGACAGGCTGAACTTCCTAGAGTAGGCCTGCAAAGATGTAACAAAACCCCCCGTGAGTCCTTGCTTAAACTTGCCTGCGAGTGTCGATTGCAGCTTCTTGGAATTTCTCCACCCCAGGCTGGCAGTTCTGATTGCAGCCGACGTGATTATCCCACCCTCGGCCTCCTGGAGTAGTTTGTGCAAGATTAAGCCTCTGGAATTTCCTCTTATCCGTCTGCCCCGAAACTCCTCTTATCCGTCTGCCCCGAAACTCCTCTTATCCCTTTGCCCCTGACCACCTGCGTGTGGTTTTTACCTTTATAAACCTCAAACTTGTAAGCCTTGGCGCGGCAGCTACCCAACCTGGTGACGCTGTGCGCCCCTGCGCTGCGCTTGTAATAAAACCTCTTGCTTTTTGCATCAAGTCTCAGTCTCCGCTCGCTTTTCAGGGTGGTCGTCTCTCCCCTGGGCCCACCGCGGAATTATCTGCGGTCTAACAACACCACATTTTATTAATCCACTCAGGTATTGATGGACACTTGGGTTGTTTCCGCATCTTTGCAATTGTGAATTGCGTATGGCCTTATTTTTTAAAGAGCCACATCAGGAATTATTTTGTGTATCTCTCACACTAGTGGGCAGACTCTGCTTGTCTGTATGAATTTTGATCAATTTTGTCAACCTCCTGGGCAAAGAATCATATTCTCATTTTTATACAGGCAGTCCCCTATATGCACTCAGGTGCCCGTGGGTAATTATCTGGAACTGCAGATGTATCTTCCCATGGGAGAGAATCATGCCTAGAGGTGAGGTTCCCGTGCAAGCCCACAGAAGCCCATATTGTCATATGACGTTCAACCTATTGTCATGAATGACACTGTCAGTATGTACACTCTCATTCCAAGTTCCAAGTGTTCAACAACAATGGAGAAAAGGGTTTCAATGGGAATTCCAGGTATCCTCAAGGAAAAGAACCCTGGGGCTGCAATAGACACCGAAGCTTTAGGTTGTAGACTCGGCATGCACATGCACAAAAACATATTCTCTCTAGTGAAAAAAAACAGCAATCAGAATGCTACTGAGCATGAAACTTGCCTTTTTTGGAGATTTGGGTTTTTATTACTATAATAATAATAATAATACTTATTATTATTAATTGCAACTCATATGAATGTGGAGTGAACTGTCCATAAAATATGCTGATAGACTAGATGTATGGCTCTTGTATAAATATACTTTCATCAGAAGATAAGGATATTGGAATTCATAAACACATAACAACCATCACCAAACATACATATATTAGAGATTCCTAGGAAACCAAACAAAATTTACTACACAAAAGCTAATCCTGATTGCACTGAGTCCTTAAAAATGTTGCCTTTTTCTTAACCAGATATCCATTTCAGTCTGTCTCCCCCTCTCTGCCTCTCCAACTCTCTGTCCTTCACTACTTAATTCTCACCTTTCCCCCTCATTTCCTTCTCCACGACCTCAAAGCAGGCTCCATGTGAGCCTCTGACATAATTACCACTCATTCTCCCCAGTATTGTGTTTGCTGATGTAGCCTAAGCTATAGATAGTAGAGTACATGGCTAAATTTGTCCTATAATAATTTATTAAGCAGTTGTCACCCTAATAAATTATTTTTGGTTTTGAGCAATGAGTCAGTTCTTAATTAGTCATTGCAGGGGACGTGGGGGCACTCAGAATTAACCTGAAGCTCCAATTTCAAATATAATTAATGTCTAGAAGTATTTTAAGTCATGCGGTATTTTATAATTATTTGATGAGCTAAACCAAAAATGATCCTCAAATAACTGCTTTCGGTGGAAGTGGTATCTCTGTTATTTATAAGAGCTTAATAGGAGTAAGGTTAGACTTTCTCTGAGGTGGAGCCTTAAACAGTGAATAAGAGCATGGTCTTCCAGGAAATTGTTTTTGAGAAAAAAAAAAATCTGATTCACCTTTGCCCACCAGCTTGACAGCATGAAATAGGTGTTAACGTTTTCGTCCCCAAATTGCTCGGCCACGTAGAGTCCCAGCGATCCGTACTTGTCGTATATGTTTCTCTTCGAGAGATCCGTAAGTATGGTGTGGGCGTTGTTGATTTCTTTAAACTTTTCGGCCGCGGCTGGATCATCTGGATTCTTGTCTGGATGATGTTTCAGGGCCAATTTTCTTTTAAAATAAAAAGAAGGGAGGAGAAGGGTTATTTGGCAAGAGTTAAAGATGACACTTTAGAAGGGCACCGTTCATTTGTATGTCCTTTATTCTCGCAAATACTGTGAAGTTAGTTTCACACTCGTGGCGATTTAACTAAGAAATAAGGTTTTCTCTCCATGGTGTCTCTTGTTTCTACTGTGCAGGCACAGTGGTCTTATATCTGTCCTCACATCCCCAAAGGAATTCTCCATAGCTGTGTTAGGCAGCTAGTGATGCATTCGGGTCTCCTCGGGATGAACGTGGGTGCCCTTGTGGTTCACCCCCACCCCCGCAGGCTGTCAGAGAGGCTCATGGGAGATCTGCATGAGCAGTCAGACTCAGGTCACATGACTCCCAACTGTCCAATCAAAATGGTTCCATGGTGACGTGTGACCCATGAGGGAGGTCCCAATGCGGACACGATAAAACAAGACACAGACCATAACCGAGGCCTTTTTTGTCTCTCTTTTTGCTGTGACAGTGGGTCTGATCGTTGTCTGTGGCGTGTGTATCTCGCTTTGCAAACCTGTGTCTTGCTCTTACTCTATTATTCTATCTTTCTCTCCTCAATAAACCTCACTTTCCTGCTTGCCTTCCTTTGGTGCATCTGGCCATTCTTTGGCCATGGGCGCCCCAAGGAGCGACATTTCCGACTGCGACCCAACAGCTGCGTTGTTGTTGAGCCGGAGACATTTTGCCGTTTTGCAGCGAATGTGAAGTTTCTCTTTACCTGGAAGCTGATCTCAAGCCCATCCCCCCATGCGAAGGCCTTTAAGAGTTCCAGCAACAGGACCGGTTTACACCAAAATGCCATTTAGAACTGGAAGAACTTTCCAGAATTAACAGAACTTCACATCACATATTCTAAAAGTTCAACTCAGCTATCCAAAAAAAAAATAATAATAAATAATTTATCCTCTCTTGAACATTATGATCCCTTCATTAATCTTCCACAAGTCCTAAGTCCCTTTTGTTTTTCTGAGCAAATACTGTGACTTCCCTTGTATTCAAATGTATATTTGGCCTCTTTCCAAATAGGTCTTTCCACTTCAAATAATCTGTAGAAATTTACTTGTGAGTGAAAAGCCCTCTGCTCTCTGCAGATCATAGCAGTTTCTGAGGGGTAGGGCTGTGTGCTCTGCGTGTGGGGAGGTGAGGGTGGAATTTGGGGGTGTCCTTTATTCTTCGGTTATGCTCGAGTTTAAAAGGCAACCTAGAAAATGGAAGTGAGAGCTCAGCTGTGAGTGTCGGACTCTTGGCTGGGGCCATGCCCCTTATTTCCCCTGCAGGCAGATTTAAATAATGATTAAAGCTATGTTCAAAATTGAGTCTGTGCTATTTTGTCACTAAAAAGTCAATTAATTTTATGACTCTCTACTGGAAATTCCACATGACTCATTCTCCCTACTGTGCTATCATGGATATAGATGGGAATACACAGTGAGCTTTTGTTTATTGTATGGGTTTGGATCAAATTGTTTCATTTTAATACAGTAATAAAAATCCAGAAGCAGAGCTACAAAGTAAAGTACACCTCACAAATCAATCGACATGAGAAACTGAACAAATCATGCCCGTTTTAGGAATTAAAGTGATTAGGAAGTAGATGAATATTTAAGCAGCTCAGCAACATGATGCTTAAAAAGTACCAAAATATTTAAAAGCATAAATCATGGTGTATAATCCATTTTAACCCCAAACTCAGAATAAATTACAAAACATAAAACAATGATGGTTCATTTTAAATCTATTCAACTAGAACATTTTTAATCCTTTTTGAAAGATGGAGTATTTATAAATTCTTATACATGGGACCATTTGGCAACATGTGTTTTACATGCAGAATTTCTGATGAACTCTGTTGCTAATAGCATAAATGTCTATTTTTTCATTTTTAAAATTTTTATGTTTACCATGTGCCAGTACAATTATAAGCATGTTATAAATATTAATTCATTAATTGTCACGATAACCCTATGAGATAGATATAATTGTGTCATTTTATAGATGAGGGAATTTAGACACTGAGAAGTAACTTGCCTAACATCACATACATAATAGTTAAAGCCAGGCTTTGAACACAAGCAAGCAGGCCTTGACCACATACTCGTAACCACCACTACGCTACTTCCTGTATTTATGTTTTTAAATTTAAAAAGTAAGGCATGCAGAATATTTAGTAGGCCATTGTAAGGAGGTTGGCTTTAGTCTGGGTGATGTGGGAAGCCGTCAGGGTGTTTTGAGAAGAGTAATAGGAGGATCACTCAGTCTTGGAGAGGACAAAGGCAAGACAGGGGAGACTCTTGTAGTGATCCAGGCACACAGTTCGTGGGTGGTTGGACCAGTGTGGTAGCAGTGGATATAGTGAGAAATGGTTGGATTCTGGATATATTTTGAGGACTAGCTGATGGATTGGACATGGGGTGGGAGAGAAAAAGAAGAATTAGAAGGCACCAAAGTTTTGGCCTAAGCAATTGGAAATTTGGATTACTATGTAATGAGATGGCACAAGAATTTTTTTTGGTAGTGGGGAGTGGTATGCTAGGATTTGGGAGTTCCATTTTGGACACCTTTGAGATGCCTATTAGCCTTCCAAGTGGAGATGAAGGTAGAGGGAAATGAGTCTGGAGTTCAGGCAAGAGTTACTGCGGGAAATGTACATTTGGGAGTCCTTAGCAGGCAGATGATATTTAGAACCATGGAACCAGAAGAGTGGGTCCAAGAAGTACAAGGACTGAGCTTTGGGAAGGGATAACCAGAAGAGGAGGCTAAGAAAGAAAGGCCGATGATGTAGAAGGAAAAGCCCAGAGAGTGTGCAGTCTTGGGATCCAAATGAAGAAAGTATTTTAAGGAAGAGAGTGATCATCTGTGTCGAATGCTGTTAACAGGTCTTGTAAGATGAGGACTAAGAATCGACCACTGGATGTAGTGATACAAAAATCCTTGGTGACCTTCACACACACACACACACACATGCACACATTGCACATACATACACACAGATAAATGTATATATGTCTTTACACAGAGAAAAATAAGCAGAAAAGAAATAGGAAAATGGAAGATTATAACCAAAATTAATGGTGCTTATAGCTGCACATTGGGATTACATATTTAGTTTTAGGTTTTTTGTTAAACCAAAACTTAATTTTAGTTAACTAAATTTACTTAGTTAAACTAAAAATTTAGTTTTTTGTCAAACTTTGCTTTAGCTTTGTTTATTATAAAAATCTATACATAGTGTTCGTGTGGTTTTTTCCCCCTAAGCATTTTAAACCTCTTGTCACAAATTATGTTCTGTTTGAATAGCTGAAAGTTTAGAATTTGTTCCCTTAGATGACCCATTACCAAATTAAGAGGGAGGTAAAAAAAAAAAGAAAAGAAAGAAAGAAAAGTCCCCAAACTGTAACAATACAACAATCATCATGAAAAGCCTCAAGTGAACATTAGTTTTAACAGCATATTATTCCTGAAATTCCCACTCTGGGCCCTGGACTAGGAATCCCAGCATTTCTCCCCCTGATGGTTACAAAGATATCGTGTCCACTTTATCAAATGAAAGGGCTGTTACTTCTGCCTTAAAAGCAAGAAATCCCTGGAAAACGCCTCTTTATATACATTTTCTTGTTTTGGGGGCTCAGTTGTAGACCGACGCACACCACCCAAGGCTTCAGCAGAAAAGCCTGGCTTTGTGCCATTTTTAAAGCTGCTTGGATCTCTGTCAGCTCACAGGGGCAGGGCACTCCATCCATTTATCATACTCCCAACAATGGACTTGGCAAATTCGGAGGGTTGGAACACCTCCATTTGTAACACATCCAATTCCCAGTCGTCAGCAGCATTTTGACTCCTCTTGGCAGATACTCTTGGCTCTGAGGAATCCTTGGGAAATATGGTGAGCAGAGGCAGCTGCCAAAATTACACAGCCATTCAAGGAGCTAGTACTGCAATGTCCCACCCACCTGCAAATTGTCCTTAGAGCAAGAAAACACCTGTGGAATTTAGTGTTTAAGGAAGTGGTTGGAGTGCATTTAAATGGAATAGTCATCTATTCATTTTAAAGGTATTCCTTGTCATTCCTAATTTTATACTTAAAGTAACATAATATCCAACCAGAATGTGAGCCTCTAACTCTGAATCTCTCTATACTCTTAGTTATCTGTTAACGTGATATGGCTATAACTAATATTAGAAATAGCATTCAATGCCTCTAACTTTCACTTCAAAATCTAGTGACAGCTGTCAACTAAAATGCATAGTGAGTTCAATGAGTGGCAGATAAGATAGATAAACTCAGAGTTTATAGTTGTCATTATCAAAGGTCTACCTATCAAAGGTCTGCTAACATCTACCTACTTTGAGGCAATGGAATAATTCTAAGAATTGTAATGTTTTGCCCCTTTCCCTTCCTCACCCCGTCTAACACTTTCAGATGAGATCTACCTGCTACTCTCTACTGGTCTCTGCCTCACCTCAGCCTCGATTCTGACCAGGTTTTCCCAGCTTTTGAGACATTTTAATGTTTGCCAATCTGGTGGTTTGTGTAATATATATGTGTTAACACAATATGGTTTACATGAGGCTGATACATGTCATTTGGATATCCTCTCTTTAAGTGCATTTTAGTGTTTTACAAATTTTTTGTTTGGTTTTTAAAATTAATTTGTGGTATTAAAAAATACATAGTCTATATACAAATTATTTCTCAGTTATATGTATTACATATATCTTCTCCCTTTCTGGGGCTTTATCATGGTGACTTTCTTTACGGTAGGTGAACTGAAGTTCTTAATTTAGTTAGATTAATCAATCTGTTCCTGAATTCAGGAAGATATTGTTCTATAAAATCTTTATAACTCTGAAATCTATATAGTTTTGCCTTTCATATGGATGCCTATGGCCCATTTATAGCTGACTTTTTAATGTAGTGGAAGGTAGGTGTCCAGTCTCACTTATTTTGTGTAGATACTCAACTG